TTGTCTACAAGCAGGTTGGCAAAAAGTGTTTTAGCTTTCTCTATTCATGATCGGATCTCTTCATGAACTCAATTTTCAGCTACATTCAAAGCTCTGAACTATATCACCAAAAAGGGTGGTTACGTGCCAGTCTTGAACAAAAACCTTGCATTTAACTGACGCAAACCCACGAAATCAAGATGTTTCGATTGCCTAGCAGTTCAAGGTATTGCTGACGTGGTTGTGTGTGTTTACTGTCATTCTTCAAATAAGATCTGGATAGTGTTCTGTGGTTGGCTTGATAAAGAAACAAACATGACAGGCGACCAGTATTCCGTTTGCATTAACTAGGCTAAAGCAAAAAGACGCGTGTTAAACTGCCGTTTGGGGTGTTCTGGCCATGTATCTCGCAAGGCGTTTTTTTATTCATTGTGGTTTTTAAAAACTTACTACAGTTGTAGATTTGGTTATTGATAATTTTATGCTTCCTACCAGTAATTTTTTGGAAACTTTGCAAGTGTTTTTCGGGGCTGATCCACCCTACAAGGCTAATTTGCATGGTCGGTACAATAATTCTGGCAATCTTGATTTTTACTAACTCTTATTGATTTTCCATCTTTTTGAGTTAATATCAATCGATGAGTGTTGGGCAAGTAGAACAAATTAAAAATATTCCATACTTTTTTAACAGATTCAAAGTCAAGAATGGAAGATAAACTAAGAAATTAAAAGATTAGGTATAGACAGCAGCAGTATTTCCCTTTACGGGCGGAGGAACGCACGCGGGGGCACTCTCACGTTGCGTAAACTTCAGTCAGTTGGTCTTCCGTTAGTCTACCGACTCTTGCGGAGGTCAACAACGCTCCGGAACTCTTTTTGAGCGACTGTGGTTGAGGAGAAGACCAACGCTGCTTTCAAATGGCGTTTAGATGAGCACCCTAAGGGGCTATAGAGGAACGAACACATGCGATCGGACCTTCGACCCAGTGGTGATGGGGCTTACATGGGTAACCTGCCCTCTGCCCTCAATTCTGAACCCTGAAGACTAGTGCATCAACACATACGATCTCATGGGCGAGCAAAATCCACGTAACATGATCAATAAGAGCAGTAATGCTCAGAGCATGTACCCGGCAAATTTCAATGAGTGATTTTATTCCCTTATTTATCTCACGGAAGGGGAGTCACACCCATTGGCAAAAATCCCGAGCTAGACAGACGATAGCGCGGACCGAATTCCGCCCTTTCATCTTTATTCTATGAACTACAAACAAACAGGTTTCAACCAGACTACCGAAAAGTGTTCTCCCGGAACTAGCGATAATAAACGTCTCCTTCCGTTAGTTGACATCAGTTTGGAATTGGTGTATATCTAGTCCGGTTGATTCATCTCTCTTGTGGACAAGTTGCCATCCACATTCTAACAAATTACATTTTCCTACTAATTACTGAAACTGTTTGGTTAATAAATAAAACCACTGATAAGGAACATCTTCTTTCCTATTTTTGTATTGTTATAAAAATCCAAACGCGTTTTTTGTTCCAAAAAGGGTTCCTGTCGTATCACTAGCTCCGCCAGTCCCCAGATTTTCGGCTTCTCAGTTACGCTGCAAGGACACGAATGGCCGCGGCATGAAAAATATATACGAACAGACACCAGTTTATTCTTAAAGTTACCTTCGGTTTGAGTCAAACGCATAACCTCGTCGGACGGCCTGTCAGCTTTGTTCTGCTTCTGTTTGTTTGGCCTCGGGGCCGCACTCCTCCCTACATTTCGCTTGACTGATCCAGATTAGGTATCGTTTCCTCACAGCTACTCGACCTCATGCTCAGTCACTTGGTCAGTGGTTCTCATTCGTTCCCTTAAGTTGCATCAAACACAATATGAATTGTTTTTCGGTTAATTCATTCTCGAACTTTTGAAATTACATTCTCGTGAATAAAAAATCTAAGTTAGGTTAACTTGAATGGGGGATAGATCGCAGTCATTGTAATAGATCAAAAACCACTCGAGGAAGGGTGAGGGACTCAGATCCAAATTGTTGAATCCTATGCTAGGCAAACCGAGACAGCTGTGCAACATCGTTACTCGCAGTTCGCACAAAGTTTAAGCTAACATTCGTACTGTACAAGTTATGAAAATATTCCATATGAACCTTTTAATTCGTCATATATATATTTATATTGCTAGATGACAGTTTGATGTAACACCCGATCTTCTCTATTTGTCTGTCAAAACGTTTTAGACTTAGCTTGCTGTCTGTTGATTTCTCTAGTCCCAATGCATGCATTTTAAATGTGTGCTGAACATGTTATTTTGAGATTGTGAAAAGTTCAGTAGCCTTGGTGGTTTTCGAATCCACGCATGGACGCCGCCTACGCTTTTGCACAGCAAACGCTCTATCATCTACGGGGCCATACCGATAGCACTGATCGTTTCACCTTCGAATAACCCATCCGAGGCTACTGAATTTTTCACAATCTCCACGTAAAACTTCAATCTGCCAAAGAACCACTTGAACATATTATTATCTAATTACACACTATTACGGACAGTTATTTTCACTTTTAACAGAACGTGGTGTTGACAAAATATTGAAAATGAGTTCTCGTAGCTCGGGTTAACTGAATTCCATTTCGCCTGTTCGCCAAGCTTGACAATTTGTTTGCAAAGTGGCCACTTCACAAGCACTGATGATGTCACCTCGGCTGGTGATGAAACGTTTGCAAACAAATTGCCAAGCTCGGCGAACAGGCGAAATGGAAGAACGTGGTGTTCAAATTGATCACCAGTTTCTGTTATTGATTGACACTTGCCATCTGCGTACACCGTCACAATCTAGCTGTATTTTCTATTTGACCAATTATCTGTTCTCTCACAAATGGTATTTTCCCGCAACAGTACTTCATCCTCCTCGGAAAGGTTTTCTACATACAACCGGATTATAAAGACTGTTTTTCGTCTAGTACACAGGTTTGGCGCTTTCTCCATTTGCTTACGGACGTCTCTGAACCGATCAAAGCCCAGAGAAGCTTTGCGTTTCTGAAAAACTTAGCGTTTTTCTGTGTCACCAGCTTCTTTCATTCTGTTCAGCTTGACTTGATGTGCTCTTTTGTTTGATACATTGCAATGGAAGTGCAATCTCCCGGTTTCCTCAACATCATATCCTGCACAATATTACGTCCGTGGGCTAAAATCCGGGGAGGGAGGGAGACAGGGAGGGGGGCAGATAGAAGGAGGTGGATGGGCTTTTCTGGGCGAGGTTGGACAGAGACATCTGACGTCTAATTATTTATGGGCTCTTGTGATCCGTGTCTAGTCAAACGTCTTGGCGTCTGTGCGCGTGTGTTAGCTATCTTCAACACCATGGCCACGAGATTTCACTTGTACTGTTTATTAGTGATAGATCAGCCCAAACTTGTACTGTGGTTTAGTTTGTTTACAAAATAACTATTTTTTAACCTACTCACATTGTTCCATCTTGCATTCAGCATACTAAATATGAAAAATTAATATCATGTGAGATTTGTGACTCACTTACTCCGGTACTCTTTAACTGCTCAACTTGATCAATTCTAACAATGCGAAATGTCCGCAACATGATTTTCCCGATGTATTTCGTTGGTCCTCTTCATCTATCAACTGATCAGATTAGACCTTTTGGGGAGGAAGAGGCGAGGGGGTTCTCGCTGTATGCCAAAATAGCATTTTTACGATAAATCCACCACCCAATAATGTTGACATTGTGCTGCTAAGTGAAGATCCAGGTAAGATGCAAGCTTTTCTGGATTGCTTGAATGCCAGTGTAGCTATGTTCGGTATGCGTTTTACACCCTCAAAGTGCAAAATGTTACTTCAAGGCTGGGTTGGTCCAGCATCCAGCCTCACTCTAACCCAAGACTAAATAGAGCAAGTGGATAAGTTTGTTTATTTGGGCAGCCACATCTCACCCGGTGGACGCATCACAGATGAAGTGTCAGCTGGCATACAGAAGACTGGGTTGGCATTTTCCAACTTGAGACATCTGTGGCGCCGTCGCGACATCCGGCTGTCTGTGAAGGGTCGAGTATATTCTGCAGCAGTTCGGCCAGCGCTGCGTTACTGTGCAGAGACTTGGTCATTATGGGAAAAGAATAAGGATAGACTGTCGGTGTTTGAACACCTCTATCTACGCAGGATTGTAAAAACCTGGTGGGGCAGCCGGACGAGCAATGTTGAGGTTAGGCGCAGAGTTTTAGGTAACCGCGGTCGCCCACTGGAGCAAATGGTCAACCTTCATAGATTGCGTTGGTTGGGCATGTGTTACGCATGTCACCAAATACGTTGTCACGACGAGCACTGCTCGCAAAGGCAGGTAGTGGGTGTAAGAAAGTCGAGGGTGGTCAAGCTAAGACCTAGCATTAGGGTATGAAAACCCTAACCAGGAGTCTGGGTCACATAGGTCCCTTTAGGCTCCTTGGCTGGGGACCTCGAGATGATCGCAACCGATGGTTAGAGACACTGAGTGATATGTCTGAGTGTACTAAACAGTGGCGTTCGTGCTTCTTCTCAATTTCTCTGCAAAATTGATCCACTGGAATTCTAAATTTTCTCTTTGATCCTACTTTCAACCCTTCTTGTCTTTTTCCTGAGGTTCATCCAAATGGTCAGTCAAGGAACAGCAACCAAAACCGGCGCACGAAAGTGCATGTTTAATGGCTGTGCAAACTGAAGCTGAAACCCAATAATTTTCAGATTACCCAAGACTCATCCAGATAGCAGAATGCCGTTGATCCACGTGTCGTACAAGATTACTCATACTGATTATGTTGGTGCCATGCTTGTCTACAGGCTGATGTTATATTTACATATATATATATATATATATATATATATATATATATATATATATATATANATATATATACTGATTGCGTAATATCACTACAGTGTGTCAATATCCCTGTTTTCCAGTTATTTTTCAATCCATCACTTTGACATAAATCTCATGATGTAACCCTACACTCCCTCACTGTGCCAGACATGCGTGCGCTATACTTCGATGTACTGGACGATGCATTTGCCAGAGCGATTGGACGGGCTAGATTGGATCGAATCGATCGGTTAACTGCAAATCATCCTTTGGACACGTAAGTTCGATGTGAACACTTTTCAGTGAATCATGAAGAGCGTTAATTCATCTGAAACACTTTCCAGTCCATGACCGGGTGCCATTTTTTGATCTGATGTATAAATGCTCTGTCGCTTTGCGTATTCCTGGCTTGAGAAGTGATCAAAATCTTTCTCTGTCTGATCGTCGCGTGATTCCTTTCTACTAATAACAAGCAACAAAAATCCTCATTCATGAATTCACGGTGAACAGGACAACCTTTTCATTCAGGTTCGCATATGCCTTTCGAATTTTCCCCCTTCCTTTCAAATCACTTGTACCTCAGATACAACGATTACATCTCTCAATCTGTCATAGTTTGATTTGATTCCCAACAGGAATACAAGCAGCGCACAATACTGACGGCTTCCAACGAGGACTAAACAGCTGTTCAAATAGTCTTTGTCCGTCTTTCGTTACACAATAATACATGACGGATGTGGTTGGTTCTTACTCCATAAAGTCAAAATGTGATGAAGGCTCATAGCACCCGTTGAGAAGAAATTGCACCAGATCTCAACAGGCATTGGTTGGTCATAAGTCCCGAAAACTGACCTGATGGGATGCGAATCTAACTGTGACGGATCAGCAGCGATTTGAACAGCAAAACTCGTTACGATATCAAGAAAATGTTTTTCGTCACAGGGGCTATGAGTAGCCCCGATTGATGACAGAGCCACGAATACCGGTAACGTACTCCGTACACACATGATGACTATGGATCTATTGATTGGTTTGAACTGACCATCCTTCGAACTTCACCTTCGCGCACAGTCCTCAGTTCATCGACTTAACCATACACTCGGAAACACCAGACTCGAGTTTTGCTCTTACTGGAGGTCATCAATAGTTCATATCCACCGTCCCGTCAGGGATTTGAACTCCGGAACTAGTGCACTAGCTACTATTTATTGCTTTCTCGCCTCATTTAGCCGTCGTGACTGAGTTATTTAGATTGATTATCAGTGCCGAATTCTAC